AAAAGATTATTACGTTAATTATCATTAAAAATATATTTTATTTAAATTAATAAATTTGTATGAGTTAATTATTTATATAAATATATGTTTTATTTGTTAAAACAATAAAAAAAATGTAAAAATTTGACTAAAATTAAAAATAAATAAATAAGAGAGAAAATTTGAAAGGAAGTAACTTAATAATGAAAAAAAACGAAGAAAAAAAATATTAGTGACCGAAATTTTGGTCACTGAATATTTTTATGAATTAACTTGTATAAAAATGATTTGAATTAATTTAATATAAAAATGATTATTTGAGACTAAAAGTTTTGGTCACTGTTCTAGATTGGACCGGGGCCTGCCCTTCAGTCGGGCAGGCCCAACCCAAGTCCAGTCTGCTGAGGCCCAACAAGGCATAATTTCCTCTGTCGGGCAGCAGCCTCAACAAGGCACATCCTTCAGGCAGACGACCTTCATAGCAGGGAAATCCACACGTTCTCCACGTGCCCCCCCACGCGGGGACACGCCATCAAGTAACTACCCACTTCCGAAAGAGATGGTCATCCCACTTTTCAAAGATCACGGGGCAGTTGATCCAGGACGAAGACCACATGATAGTCTTCACTACACCACGTAAGCCCTGACAGTTACTTGTGTTGGGCTTGACAATCCGACCCAATACAATGTAATTGTTGGCCCTGCGCTGGGGGAACATTATAAATACCCTCTTTCACTAGAGGGTCAGGTATTCTATTCATCACACATTCTCTATGTACTTGCTCTCTCTAATTCCGGTACTTACTTAAGCATCAGAGCATCTTGCAGGTACACCCTCTTTCTCCTCCACAACACTGGTGAAGGCAACAACTCACGACGCGTGGCAGACTACTGATTCCTTTCTGATCAGGTAAGATCAGTCACAAAATATCAGCCGCTAATTCCGTGGCTAATTTTACTTTGTGACCGATTTAGTGACTTTTAAAATTTGCTAACATGATGTTTAATTTTAATAGCTAATTCGGTTATTAGAGTGATTAAAAATTTATAGTCACTAATTTGGTCACTTAAAGCGAATTTTCTAGTAGTGAACATTGTCTTGAGAAGAAACATATAGAGTGAAAATAAGACCACTATCTAACTTTTCTTTGATGAAGTGTATGTCAACTTTGAATATGTTTGGTTCTGTCGTGTTACACTGGATTATGGGATATGCTAATAGCATATTTATTATCACAATAAAGTCTTATTGGTTCATCACTCTTTATCTTCAAGTCTTCTAATATCATTTTCAGCTAAAGTAGTTCACATATTCCTTGTACAATTGCTTTAAATTCTGCTTCAGCACTCAATCTAGATACAACACTTTGTTTTTTACTCTTCCAAGTCACAAGATTCCCACCTAGAAAAGTACAATATCATGTAGTTGATCTTTTACTCACAAATGGTCCTACATAGTCAGCATCACTATATGCTTCAAGACTCACACTTCCATTTCGTTCAAACAAAATTCCTCTACCTGGAGTTCCTTTTAAATATTGCATAATTCAGATAGCAGCTTGTAAATAAATCTCCTCTAGTTTGGGCATGAATTGGCTGACTAAGCTTACAGCAAAAGCAACATTTGGTATAGTATGTGATAGGTATATAAGTTTTCCGACTAATCTTTGATACATTCTCTTATCAACCGGAATATTTTTGTATATGTTCCCCAACTTTACACTTGGACCAATTGGTGTACTTGCAGGTCTGCATGTCGTTTTACCCGTCTCTTGTAGAAGATCAGTAATGTATTTTTGTTGAGATATGAAGATTCCTTTTTTAGCGTTGGCAACTTCAATTTCCATAAAATACTTCAATTTTACCAAGGTATTAATCTCAAACTCCTTAGCTAAGTGTTCACCTAACAATTGTTGCTCATTCTCATCATCACCTGTTATTATAATGTCATCCACATACACTAATAAAATTGTTACTTTCCCTATCTCAGAATGTTTGATAAATAGAATATGATCTCCTTGACTTTGTTTAAAGCCCAAACCTATCATAACATTGGTGAATATTCCAAACCATGCTGATGGTGATTGCTTTAGCCTATATAAAGCCTTTTTTAAATTGCACACAATGTTGGTGGTAGTAAGCTCACAATATCTAGGGGTACATTCATGTAATGTCGGATTGGATTCTTGGATATAGGGTAGTTAGATATAGGGTAAAATGGCTTTTTAGTACATTTTGTGGTATCTTTTCTAAGGGCAGTTGAAAGATATAAATCCTTGTAGTGAGGCGGTAGTACTTAGTTGGATTATGTTTCTTGTTCATGAGAAATTCAAAAATTGAATAACTGGTGCTTGAATGGTCGGGAGAAGTTACAACATGTAATGTCGGATTGATTTCTTGGATATGAGTAGATTCAAGAATGTTCTTCTTTATTGTATATGCTAAATTCTTTCCAAATCTTACATCAGTTTCAACATTTTCATTTTTTCCATAATCAAGTTCAATCTCAACATTGTCACCACTAGTTTCAGTCTCAACTTCCGGTTCAAAAGTAAGGTCAGGAAGTAGAGAAGACTCATCTTCCTTATTGATATTCTCCCCCTGAAGATGAGTTTCAAGGAAGTAACTTTCTTGTTCGTGGAAGGTGACATCTCGAGAGACAAAGTATTTATGAGATGGTGGATGATAACATTTGTAACCCTTTTGGGTAGAAAACTATCCTACAAATACGCATTTCAACGCTCTAGGATCAATATTCCTTCTACTGTCACTATGAATATGGACAAACGACATACACCCAAATATTCTAGGAGTCAGATTACTGGAAGTTGACACATCAAGATAGAGTGAGGATAAGACTTCCATGGAGTTTTTCATGCAAGGACAATAGAGGGTAAATGATTAATGAGATACGATGCAGTTAAGACAACCTCACCTCAATGTTTCTTATGGACTTTATTTTAGAATATCATAGCACGTGTTTGGTCTAGCAAGTGCCCATTCTTTCTCTCAGCAATCCCAATTTGTTGTGGGATTTTAACACAATAAGACTAATGAATAATACCTACTTTTTGACAAAAAGAATTAAGACCATGATTAAAGTAATCCTTGGAATTATCAGGTCTAATTCTCTTAATACTCATACCAAACTGATTTTTAACCATAGAGAAGAAGTGAAGAAACACAGAACAAACTTCAGATTTTTGTTTTAACAAGTAAACCCAAGTAACTCGAGTGCAATCATTATAAATGTTACAAACCAACGAACACCTGATATATTTGGAACATTCCATGGACCCCAAACATCCGTACTAATTAAGTAAAATGGAAAAGTACTCGTTTTATTACTGACTGTAAAAGAGACATGCTTGTGTTTAGCAAGTTGACACACCTCACAACAAAGACTATCCACATCTAAACTTTTAAATAATTAAGGAAATAATTGTTTTATGACTCTAAATGATGGATGACCAAGGCGACAATGATACAGAAAGACCTTTTCTCTGTTGATTTTAATTGATTCTAAATTAAAAAAAATTGTTGTTGCTGAATAAATTTGGAGGAATATTTTGGTTATCCAATTAATAAAGGTCATTCCATTCTCTAACATTTCCAATTGTCCCCCCTGAATTCTTGTCTTGGAAAACACAAGCATTGTTATAAAAAAATAACATTACATGATAGGTCGATTGTGAGTTTTTGTATGAAAATTAGGCCAGTGGAAAATTTGGGAATATGAAGAACATTTTGAAGGATTATAGATGGGCTTATTTGGATATCTCCTTGTCCAACTACAGTTATAAGGGTCCATCTACAGTGGATATTTTTTTAATACTAGGACATGGTGGATAAGTAGAAAAGTGTGTGAGTAAAGGTGTCATGTGGTCAGTGGCTCCAGAGTCCAGTATCCAATATTGGTTAAAGGGTTTATCTGATGCATTAAATCCAAAAGAAAATTAAGACTTACCAAGAGTAAGTGAAAACGGAAACGTACCTGAATGTACCAACATAGAAGTACCTGTTGGTTTCTGAACTTACTAAGGAGGAATCTTAGCCTTTCTACTTTTTCTTTATTGAGTGGAACAAATTCTCCTTCTGAAATATTGATGAATGTCATGCGAATGTGTTTGACTCAATAGAATAAAAAAAGAACCAGCAAACTGGTGGTAAAGAGGACTGCAACCTTAAAAAAAGAAATTTTAAAATTGTTCTGGCACAGATGAACAGTGTTACTGTGGGTGAACAATAACTCAGCTAGGGTTTGAAAAAAGAATCGCAATTAAGACGGTTAGGATTTTGAAAAAAGAAGCAATTAAGGCGGCTAGGGTTTTTATTATGCGGAAGCGAAACTCTCTTAAACGAGCGCTCGTGATACCATATTTGAAACTGAATAATATATTTCAAGTATGTTAAACTTACAAGCACTAATCTCTTTATATAAGACTATTCTAATCTAATGAGTCTAATGTTAGGGAAGATTTTAACTAAGGAGCATTGAACATTGTAGGACTTCTTTTTCTAGAGCAACACCTTTGCGAGAGACACACCACATATTCAACAAAAACATTAAAGTAATAGGTGTATGAACTCTCCCACTTATAAATGCTCAAATCTCCACATTTCTAATTAATATGAAACTATTACACATACTCATAAACTAAAAGTTCGAATTTAAATTACTACTAATAATAGTAAAAAATAACTTATTTACCACAAAAATTAATGCGGTTAAATTTACAAATTTAACATCCAATTTCAAAAGTTCTATGTTTGTCCATCAATTTGGTGTATGTTTACAAAAGACACCCTTCAAGGTCAATAAAGTTGTGTCAAAAAAAACCACGAGGAAGGAGTGGCATATTATTAAATTCCTTTGAGTATGTGCAATCTGGATTGAGATGAATATAAAAAAAATTATCTATTAGACACCTAACAATATGCTCCATTCTATACACTGTATATTGTTGACCTTCAAAACCAGATATTTTGGAACATGCTCCATTTGACATCAACGGCTAAAAATGGCAAAGTTTAGTTCTTGTTATGGGAAGGATTTTCTTTTTGTTCTTCTTTTACTATCAAATATTTCCTTTCAAGTTGCAACATGTGGCTCCATAGTCAAGTTTCTACCTGGATTCAATGGTCCCCTTCCTTTTGTTCTTGAAACTGGGTTAGTTTTATTTACTTACCTATATATACTTCATAGTTTTTAAGATTTTTTTTTAATCTATGGTTATTAAAATAATTATTTCTTATTTATACTTGTTGATAAAGGTATGTGGGAGTAGGAGAAAAAGATGATGTGCAAGTGTTTTATTATTTCATTGAATCAGAGAATAATCCAAAGGAAGATCCTCTCATGCTTTGGCTAACTGGTGGACCTGGTTGCTCTGCTTTGTCTGGTCTTGTCTTTGAAATTGGTAATTGCAACTTTGCTTTAGATACTCTTACTATAAGTTTTTGAAGTTTATGTTAAAGCTAACTTGAGTAAAATATATAATGGGAAACTTTAAGTTTATGTTAAAATATATAACTAAAACTTGATATGTTGCATTGTAGGTCCACTTGAATTTAGAAGGGAAGAATATAATGGGAGTTTGCCTAATCTGATATTGAAACCACACTCATGGACAAAGGTTGGGGTTTCATTCTTTTGTGTTGGCTAATTTTAATATTTTTAGCTGTATTATATCTACTTCATCTAATCATTTTATTTAAACATTTAGATATTTGACTTTTAAAATAATTTTTTTTTATGTATAGGTGAGTAGCATTATATTTGTAGATTTGCCTGTTAACACAGGCTTTACATATGCCACAACAAATTCCAGTTCAGAACGAAGCGATTCAATACTAGTTCATCAAACTCATCAATTTCTCAGAAAGGTATTCAAACAATTTCCATTCTTTTCATTTCACAATCATAATTTTTTCTTTGTTTATAAATTTTATTTATCATAATCGGTCAAAAAGAGCGAAAGTCATGTTGTAAACATTTGTAGTGGTTAATTGATCATTCAAAATTCGAATCAAATAAAATTTATATCGGTGGTGATTCATACTCGGGCATTCCTGTTCCCGGAATCGTTCAAGAAATTGTCCAAGGTACAAAACTCATGGTTCAATCATGTATCATAATACTATTATGTTGCTATTCATTTGTTGTATATTGAAAACTTTAATGAAATTATTCACAAATTTCCATGTTTGCAGGAAATGAAGAAGGTGTCCAACCATGGATTAATCTTCAGGTAAGTTTCTTATAGGATCACCCTATTAATTTAGGATGCACCAATTAAAAAAATACAAGTGTTTACATTGAAATGCACCGACACTGTCATTTAATTATAACCGTTGGATGTTAGAAGAAATTTGACTTTTCTTCAGGGATATTTGTTGGGGAATGCTGTAACAACTAGGAAGGAAAGCAATTATGCAATCTCTTTTGCTCATGGAATGGGACTCATCTCTGATGAACTATACAAAGTAATTTCAAAATTTTAATTTTAATTCCTTAATATACTTGAAAAATCTATAAAGCACTGAGATATATCCTAACAAACTAATTTATAATATTTTGTAGTCACTCCAAATAAATTGTAAAGGCGATTACATAAATGTAGAAAGCAGAAATATTTTATGTTCTAAAGATATCAGAATATACGAAGAGGCTATATCAGGGCTTAATGCAGCTCATATTTTAGACCCAAAATGTGAATGGCTTAATGAAGTTGAAAAATTTGAGAGAAAATCTCTAATTGAATATCCCTCCAACTTCCTCACTTCAAATCTTAGGTTGCCTCCCTTGAGTTGTCGGGTAATTCTTATTTTTTATATATATTTATGGATTGCGGTGATAATTTTAATATTTAAATTTCAAAATAATTTGGTTAAGTTGATGTTTGTTTCCTTTCAATCTTTAGAGTTATCCATATTTTCTTTGCGGTTTTTGGACTAATGATGACAATGTTCGTAAAGCACTGCACATACGTAAGGTATAGATTCGATACTTATAATCAAAAATTATAATTTTGTTATATTTCCTATCTATTTATTCTATAAAAAAAAAGTTGCCTGTTTATAACATGTTACAGAATTTTACACATTCATACACTATTGCAGGAAGCTCTTTGCTAGTTATGTAATGATAACATAAATGGTTGGTTGCATGTGTTGCAGGGTAGTATGGGAAAATGGCATCGTTGTAGCTCTGATATACCTCATGAGAAGGATATATTTAACAGTTATGATTATCATGTAAATCTCAGTAAAAAGGGCATTCGTTCACTAATTTACAGGCTAGTAGTATTTCTCTATGCTCATATATTTCATAAGATGAACTTTGTAGTTTTGATTTTTGTGGTAATAAATTTTGTATATTTTTAATAATAGTGGAGATCATGACCTATTAGTTCCATTCTTGGGGACACAAGCTTGGATAAGATCTTTAAATTATTCCATTGTTGATGAATGGAGACAGTGGTATACAAATGACCAAGTTGCAGGGTATTCACATAATTGTAATCATGTTTTAAGTAATAATTATTCATACATAATTAATGAATAAGTTGAATTAACATTCTTTTTAATTTTATACATGTAGATATACACGGACTTACTCCAATCAGATGACATTTGCAACTGTGAAGGTAAGACTATTGTTTTTAAATTTCTATATCTGCAATTAGGAGTGGCAAAATGGACAGTCTGCCCCGTTTAGGCCCGACCCATTTAAGTCCGTCCAAAAGTGGAATGGGACGGGGCGGACCAACTTAAACGTTCAACCTCAAAAGCCAAGTCCAACCCATTTACTAACGAGTTGACGAGTTGGCGGGCCGACCCGCTAATTTTTTATTTTTTATTTTACAATTAGCAAAACTACTGTCTAAATCTTTTAAGTTATTTTAAAATATCAAGTTAGTCCCTTAAGTTTTTTTTATAACTCTTTGATCCTTTTTTTAAAATCTCTGTTACAATAAATTACAAACTCATATACCATTTGAATTGATTTTTCGCGCTGATCATGAATGTGTAATTAGTTTTGCGTTTGATTGTGTGTTTTGGTCGGATCGATGATTTTTTATTATGTATTTCGTCTATTTTTACCTGATTCTCATGAACCGTAACTTGTTTGATAAATTTGATTGCATACTTGTGATTAGCGCAAAAACTCAGTTCATATAGTATATGAATTTGCAATTTATTGTAACGGAGATTTTTAAAAAGGGACCCAAGCGTTACAAAAAAACATAAGGGACTAATTTGATATTTTAAAATAACTTTAAGGACTAAAACAGTAGTTTTACCTTTATAATTTAATTTACTACATAATTTAAAAAAAATCATTTATTACCAAAGAAGTTGACAAAATATTTTTTTTAACAATGTATAATAAAACTTCAACATGTCTTAAGTCCAAACTGTTCAAAAATAAAATAAATAAAGACCAATTACAACAAAAAAATAATGAAATAAACTCAAGAACAATAAAAAAATGTATCAAAATAAATAAATAATACATATTATCATAATCCTATTTAAAAACTAACTACTAAAAGAACTTTATTAAGAATTTACAAAAGACAAGCAATAATAACAATTACACTGCATAAAACATCACAATGCATAAAATATCAACACTTGACTTTCTCACTCTTTATATCATATAGACTTTTATTTTGACTGATTCCTTAATAGTTAAATCCTAAATTTTTCACAGATATACACTAATCAAATCCTTCATTTTCTTAAAATCAACATCTATTTCTAAAGAAAACATGTGGGCTAATGTTTGACAACTTAATAATTCAGCATACCATACAATTTTTCTTTTATTTCAAGTTTTTGCAATCAACACATGTATTAGAAAGTTATAGATAAAACGTTACAATTATAATTCAATTTGTTTGTATAATAATTTATATTATAATTCAATCAACATAATCCTAAGAGAAAAGTGTTATTTTATAGTTAAAGTTGTTTTAATTCTAAGTAAGAAAATAAAAAAGTTTTAACAAAAAGTCCACAGGCAACTTAAAGTACCGAGCCGAAAACTTCAGCGTAGTTCGCCAAAAATGACATGTCAAACGGGCCGACCCAGCGGGCCCGACCCGTTTTCCACCCCTACCTACAATTACATACACATATTGCACTTAATTAGCCTATGAATATGTTATGAAATATAATAATATCAACCACCCAAAGAACATTAATGTGTAGAGAAAAGTACAATGACAACCAAAATAAATAGTCATAAGCAATATCAATGTGCGCACAAAAGAATGCTAGAAAATCCACGTGAACAAAAACAAGATAAAAGACAAAAAAAAACACATAAAATTTGTTTATCTAGTTTGATCAAATTGATATACTTTAGGAAAATAGCAGCCCCTTAATTCACTACATTTCATGAGTTATTATAAGAGATTACCATATAACTTACAAGACAATTGTGTTTCAAGTTCTCAAGAATAAATCTTATTTTCTACCTAAGTGTTTTCGAATATCTCCAACTCTCAATAAATAAATCATTCAAACTAATGTATTGAGAAGTGTTTTCCAATCCATTTAGGTATTCCAAAAGGTCTGTCAAATTTTTAGAGGGAGGGGGTAAATTATGGTATTTAAAATTTGTGATTAATTAAAAAAAAAAGGTGTTAACTTAAAACACCAAATTATGTTAGTATTGAAATAGCATGGAGAAGAGCAGCTTAAAGAAATAAAACAATAAAGTAAATGATAGAAAGTAAGGAGATAGAGTTATAGAGATGGCACCGAGATTAATATAGGTTCAACAGAATGTTGTCCTACTCTTGTTCCCAAGAGATTTTCTTGAGAGTTTTAATAATAATCTTGAGCTTTTATAGGTTATGTCCACAAACCTCCTTACAAGCAAATCGAGAGACTTTACACAGGCTTATCCCCCCAATTAAACATGGTTATTTGCGCGGGTTGAGCTCACGAACCAAGTAGCAATTTTTTCGACCAATCTCAATAATCAAACAGAACTTTTATCGGAATGAGTTTTATAAGCAAAATAATATTTTCACTAGTTTATCTATAGAACCAAAATAATAACTTTTAAGAGAATCACACTCTTGAAATAAAAAATGGAACTACACTAGTACAACTCTTTCCTCACAAGTAGTTTTCACTCACAAGACACTAAGGGTCTGTTTGGTTCAAATGAGGGGGAGGGGAGGGGAGATGAATAAATTTTTTAATCAAATAAGTGTTTGGTTCAAAAGAGTAGAGGGGAGGGGAGAAATTTTAATTAAAAATGTGTTTGGTTCAGAAGGGGAGAGGAGGGGTTTTATTAATAATTTACATTTTTATCCTTATGATCTTATATAAGTCATATGATATTAAAATGTGAAAAATTCATGTGTATTTTTGTTGGTAATAAAATTTCTAATATTGAGTGATTAAAAAAATATTTATTTGTCACATAAAGTTAAAAAATTGAGTACAATCGATTCGACTTATAACTTTCCAACATAAATTAAACTATATGCCAATAACATCGTTTAAATTGTGATGAATCATATAACAAAACAAATATATAAAATAACTTATTACTAAATATTAATGGTTCAAAGTATTTAATAAAATGAATAAACAAAAATAATTAAAATGATATGGTTTACAATTTGATATAAAAGAAAATATGATAGAGTACATAACAAAATTAAAAGAAAAAAACGAATATAACGAAACATAATTTTTTTTATAAAAAAAAGACAATGATTATGATTTATATTAATTATAAAAATTATAAAATAATTTGAAGGTGGAGAACAATTATAATAAGTTGATGAAAACAATCAAGAAAAAACAGTAACACAAAAGATAACAAATAGTTTTGAAATAATAAAATTAAACTGAGGATATTTTAGTAAATATAATAATTTTTAAATATCAAAACTCATATTCCCTCCCCTCCCCTCCAAATCCTCCCTATTCGGAGGGAACCAAAAAGTGTGTTTTGGAGAGATTTTGCTCCCCTCCCCTCCTAAAATTTGAACCAAACATATTTAATTAAAAATTTCCCCTCCCCTCCATCTACCCCGAACCAAACACACCCTAAGGCAACTTTGACAAAGGAAAATATCAATGAGAAAGGATGAGAGTAATAAAATAGTAAGAAATAAGAAAACTCTAAATTCCTGTGTGATTTCAAATGAGGGGAAACCTCCTTTATATAGGAGAAACTAAGGCTAAAAAATGAAACAATCCATGGGAAGAATTAATTGAATAATTGGTTAAGCCAATCGATTATTAACCTTAAATAATTGATTGCTTAAGCCACAAATTGGAAGGTTTTGACAGTTAGTCATTACCAATCATTAATACATTGTCCCAATAGATTTTAGACTCAACAAGATAAAAATAATTGATTACATGATTAGGGTTAACCGATCATTTTGTAGTAAAAAGTTCTCTAATTGATCAGACAACCCCTTAATCAGTTAGTTAGGACTTCAAAATGTTTTTGATTGTTTTTAGAAAATAAAGAAATGTCTTTAAAAGAATGTGTGTGTGTGTGTGTGTGTGTGTGTGTGTGTGTGTGTGTGTTTATGAGCTTCCTTTAGATCTTAGGAGTTACTTTCCTACTTTCACAAGACTCGGGTCACTCAGACAGACACGATGGGGTGAGCTTTCACGCTTCCTCTATTTCACATCTCTGAAGCTTCAAGTTACTTTTCCATATACTTCTATCATATAAGCACTTCACTTAAACTTTAAATATTTTACTTGATAGGGATTCAAATACTTCAAGTTAATCACCATCATCAGAGAGTTGGAAAGATATCACCACCGACTTCAATAAGCATTATTGTTGTTGTTATCAAAATATAAAGATCGTTAACAATATCAGGATCATTAGCTTCATACCTGTAAACACAAAGACTTGTGACCCGACTGACGTCGCCTAGAGTGTTGACCATAAGTCTCCTCATACTGAATTCTAGCAGTATCGTTGATCCACAACTCCACTATAATTTCCCACTCGTGGAAAAACATGATAGGACAAAAAATGAATTTTCTCTTTCATCACTAGGGACATTGAAACATACTTTTAACTTCTCCACCTTGACTCAACATATGGTGATGTTAGTTTAATTAAAAATCACCTTGCTGCTCTCTCTAAAGCTTGACTCAACCTTTAATTTTTAGAGTATTCTCACCAGTCCACAAACATGGTTCTTGAAATAATGAATCATCCATCGCATTCAACCATATTTAAGTCATTTTTTTTCTTTTTAATGCCTCCCTTAAGGTATTTGATTATGAACTTTACAAACCTTAAGCCACATTCAAAGCATAACAATTAAATTTGGCATAACCATATCCATGAGATGGTAAACTTTCTCTCTGTACTCTATCATGGGTCAAATTATAATCAAGAGCCATTATATATTTCTCCTTACTAGAACTAGAAGTATAAGCCTTAACATCCACCTCATCTATAGTCTTTATAGAAAAAGGATTTATTATATGTTGAGTCTTCTCCACCATAGTTTTTTAGTCTCTCACTTTCAGGTCTTTACACTTTGTCCCTTAACGGGTCTCGCCGAAGTAACAATCTTGATTATGATGAATTTTGATCGTCCAATATCCACCTTCCAAAAATTGTAGCCCTTCTCGA